CAGTGCACCGCATTGCCAAGCAGTGCACCTCATTGCCAAGCAGTGCAACGCATTGCCAAGCAGTGCACCTCATTGCCAAGCAGTGCACCGCATTGCCAAGCAGTGCAAGTGACAGAGAGACCAGTGAGCGAGACGAGAACATGAGACGAGGGAGATGACGACAGACTCTGAGACGAAGGCGCAAGTATATAAATATAGACTCCTTCATGCAAGTAAAGAATAGACGTGTGATGCTGTCTAAATAACCCATGCGTTGCGGCCTAAATAGTGACATGTGACGAGGTTTGATTATTTATTTAAGGGGTCTAGTTATGTTATACATTATAATGACAATTATAATTGTATATTATTAAACAAACTGCAATTATATAATGTACGAGGAATGAAGTGTATGATGGCTGTAATGTACAAGGCTGTAATGATCAATGACTGAGATGTATGATGATGGAGACTCACTGAAATAAAATTTATGCAAATAACATGACGAGTTTAACTATGCCAGCAGACTTGCGACTAAGTAATAATTTGATTTAATAGCAGCGCAACAGAAATAACCCTTATGACCTTGAAAATAACAATAGCGTAGCATTAAATCTAAAAAAAATTAGCAACAATGATAGTACATGCCGTACACATTGAACAGTAACAACGTAATTAAGACATAAGCGTTACATTAATAACAGGAGCGCAGTAACAAAGTGAAAACAATGACCAACACAGGCAGTGCCTTGCGTAATTAAGGCAATACCAAACATGATAAAAGAACAACAGAGCTGTGATGCGAACAGGAGCGAGCAACAGACAAAAACACCTTGCAACAGCTATAACAGGGAAGCTATCACTGCAATAGCTGCAACTGTAGCAGCTGTTAGCAGCAGCTGCGTGAGTGTTTGGAGCAGATGTGTCTTTGCTTTGTATATCAAGTGTGGGTAGCAGAGTATAAATGACTAATGATATAAATATGTGCATTGAGATGAAACAATTGATTAAATATTATTTTTATCGGTTGAAAGTATGCGTAAGATCGCACACGAGAGAACGTATCAGTTAAAACATGTTCAATGCGGCTCAAAACTTGCATAAGTAAATTTATGAATTATTTGCCGTATTGTATACATACGATTGCACCAATAGTACAAACTGATCCGTGTATGGCTGGTGAATTGATGTATATCAATAGAGTACACTGGTTTGAACACCACTAGCGCACACTAGTGCACACGCTACAAGCGCACACTAGTGCACACGCTACTAGCGCACACTAGTGCACACGCTACTAGCGCACACTAGTTAGTGCACACGCTACTAGCGCACACTAGTGCACACGCTACTAGCGCACACTAGTGCACACGCTACTAGCGCACACTAGTGCACACGCTATGGGGAACTAATGAGGAGGCAAGCGACTGCGTGCCGACTACTGATAAACTGCGCAGGCCCTGCAGTTACTGCAACCTGAACCGGTCCTAGCGATACCGTCAGGACAAGTATTAAAAGTGACGTGAGATTTACGTGGATTCACGCTGCATCACTTTAAAATTATCACTGTGGTTTACTCTATCAAATCAAGTTTCAGATCGTGAATAGGACGTGTCAATTAATATATTTCAAGTTACCGATTAGATAAATAAATAAATATCACCACTATGCGACCCGACAAAGGCACGTGTGTGCATTGAAAAAACTACAGAAATTTGTGAAGAAGATTACACGACTGGAAAACTGCAGACACAGACACGTAACTACATTCCATCACAAATGCTGCAGGGAGACTGGAGTGCAACTGCGCGGGACACCCAAGCCACCACTTACCCACCCAGCCACCTAACCACCCCCAGCCACCCAGCCACCCAAACCTTTACCTACCCAACACCTGTCACTCCCAAATAAGATTATCGCTGATGTCATCGGCTGATCTCCCGTGAATATATTGCATTGCGGTAATAAAAGGCCACGAGGCATGATAATCTGTCTCTACTTTGTGGTAATTCAATTTAAATATCAGGATTTTAGGGCAATGTGGTTCACGCGGAAACGCCACGTATTCGCACATCTGCTCGCGGGAGGACTGGGGCGGAGATCCTACAGCGTCCTTCATCTTTTCGTTGCGATTTTGGTCAAGGGTTGCATTTTCGAAACTGCATACGGTCACCGTAAATTCTACGATGACCTAATTCTTATTTTCCTAATATACCGAGTTGGATTGTTGTTGGATTAATTATGAACTGAGGGAGAAAAATGGATCGTGGAAATCTATGAAACTGTCAATCCTTTGTATTATTTTTATATTGTATAATAATTTTCATTGTATACTAGACTTGTTTTTAAGCGCACTCCAGCCTTTGTAAATTATTCGATCGTCGTACACTCAGTGAAATGTGTGAGACTTTTTCCCAATATTGTCACACTTTTTGCCATTGGGTGGGTCACCTTGACCTAGTTTGGCCCGGCAAAAGGGTGTATCAGTGCTACATGCCAAAGGAAAATGACGTTATTTGGACAATTTGACCCATTCATTTCATGAGGGTAAGGTTGTAGTATTTCCATATGGTCCCTATATGTATGTTTTTCATGAAAAATGCGAAAAAACATGTTTATGCATATGCCTAAATCCTAATCATGTCATTGGATGAAACCGTCTGATTTATAGTATCCTCAATAAATCCTAACCATATTGCATGACCATATCCTTCAATCATATTCCAATATCCTTTTCCTATTCCTACCATGGCAGACAGCAGGTACGTTTATCAGTCTAAAAACCTCACGAGAAATAAAATTTTCCATTGTATCCAGTTTGAACTTTTTCCACTTTATGCTGCATGAATTTTTTCCACTATATCCTGTATGAATTCTTTCCACTGTAATTCAACTCTAAACTTTTTCATAACATGAAATTTATGTTAAGTGATAACCCAAACCTCGTTCTTCTCACCAAAATGACTTTCTTTGCTTCTTCCTGTACATCCTCCGCCTCGCGTGTACACTCTACATCCCAGGCAGGAAACATACATTGCATTTTGCGGTTAAATTCTTGATTATCTGGATAGTAAAATGCTAGAAAAGCGCCGCGTTTTAGGAAAACGCGAAGAATGCATCGCGTTTACAAGTGACAAATGAGGAAGGATCTAAGTCGACTCCAGACGAAGGGTTCCGGAGGATTTACAAATGATTGTGACTATTACGTCACTATCATTTATATCGAATAAATTGTGTATTTTTGTTGTTAAGTTGTGAGGTATATCAATGAGGTGTTCTAACTAGTGGAGAGTTTTCATTGCAGTAAAATGATTTTAAAGATTTTGGGTCATAGATAGTAAGCAATAGGACATGGGAATAAGTACTAACAACACTCTCGATAAAATCATGGAGCTTCTTGTCTACTCGTTCGTATACTGACTGTCCTTGAACTGACAGACCGAGTTAAGTTGAAAAAAAATGTTCACGGTAAAGACGCATTAGAGATCAGTAAGGAGCCATTACAGCCGGGGACCGAACTTGACATAGACTGTGCGGTGTTGAACTATTTATGATATCAGAACAACGGAGCGGGTCGCTGCATTATAGATACAGTGCTGGGAGGTTAGGGTAACGGTATCACTAGCGTATCATTTAAAAAGACGTGTGTAGAGTAATCTAAACACGAATTTCTTCTTTGTATGTAAAAATATATATAATGTCAAAACTTTAAGTTTATTGGCGCTGTATTAATTCAGTTATCGTTATACTTCGTATAGCCACAGATACGTGATTAGAAATGGTGAAAAGACAGGCCATTTATTAGCTAAATTAATCCCCTTATTTTTCCCAATGCAACATAAGATGTGGCCCTACATAAGATGCAGCATAAAATGTGGCCCTACATAAGATGCAGCATAAGGGCCTAAATAAGACGGAGGCTGCATTAATGCAGTTAAGCGCCCCAGAAATGAACGTGGCAACAATTGTTCACAATTACCAATTACGTCGTACACGAAGCTATAGGAGCTTGCTCACCAGCAGCTGTTTTGTCTTCGACTGTATAGGGTGCAGGGACTGATGTACAGATGGCGTATTGAGCATTTAATTAAGTGCTAATAATACCCGATTATGCTTGAGTTAAATATTCTAACGATAATGGATTAATCTATAATTATTGTTAGCAATGCATACACCCAATCAAGGATAATTGAAAAGGTTTACCCATTATTATCCTTAGTATATAACATACATTCAACTATATAAGGATAGTTGCGAAGATTTAACCAATTATTATCGTCACCATTAAAGCACTTACCCAACCAAGAATAATGACAAACTTTTACTTAATTACTATCGTTAATATATCCTATACTAACCAATGTCTAGATCTGATCTGAAGCTCAATTTCATAATCGTTCGCACTTTTCGATAGCGTAAGAGATACAATTCGGTCACCGGAAAGTGAAGCACAGAAGAAGAGTACAAAAGTAATACGAATAAGTTAACAAAATTGAAACTGAAAGAAAATTCGCCATACTAATAGTGGAAATACTTCGGAGATCGTTTCCATCATCAATTAAAAAATTCTACAAGACGAATATAATCGCTCGGGACAATCAAATTTTTGACCTTCAGATATTTTTCCGATGTTTCAGATTTAAGATTTATGGATTCATTGCATTTTTTTAACAAAAACCTTATCCAAGCAGTGCTCATATCTGTTAGCCGCTTGGAATTATGAATAGATTGGTTTTTACGTTTTTTCGCCCGTTTATCTAGGTATTTTTGTTGTATCCCCTTCCGTTTAAATTTGTTTTGTTTACTCCAGAAAATACTTGTTTTCTAGAAACTTTTAAACTGATTAATGGAGCTGGTCTCCGAAACGTTTTCACTGAAAACATGTAGAATTTACCTGAGATTTTCTTTGCCTTCAATTATATTAAATTAAAGTAATTATTTGACTTTAAGTTCAGAAACAAGGTCGTAGACAATTGGCTTCACAAATAAAAATTGTGTTCACAATAAAAAATGGCACTCACCAAGTCGCTGGTCCCACTCGGTCTCCCTGAAGGGACTCGACTGTACCCTCGCCGACATCTCCTGCACTGCACCCTGAGGGAGACAAGGACAAACATTGAAACATGAGATACAAGATACACTGCAACGAAATATTGCAAAATAAAAAGCTAAGAAAACTATAAAGCACAGCACTCAGAAGCAATGCATAGTCATAATGCTTCACATGAGAGACAAGATGCACTGAAACGAAATAATGCAAAATAAAAAGCTAAAAGATAATACAGCAAAGCACTCAGAAGCTCTGTAGTCATAATACTTCACATGAGATACAAAATACACAGCAACGAAATAATGCAAAATAAAAAACTAAAAAACAATAAAGCAAAGCACTCAAAAGCACTGTATAGTCATAGTGCTTCAAACAATCGCCGTATTTAGACCAAACAAGAAATAGATACGTTATGTCGGTCATGGCTTTCTCTGTGACCATCTCAAGAATTCAAATAAAAAAACATCCAAAGGCAACGACAATACATGCTGAGAAATGCAACGCTGCCATTTCAATGCGGATGTTTATTCAGATTTTTCCACGGCTGCCATAATGCTGTGCTACATTTGAACTTCAACTGAAACTGCTAGGTTGTTACTAGCTGCTACTCAACATTATTGTGATAATAGATTGCTTTTAAATGATTTTTTCTTCTTGAAATGTTTATGCCCCAACACTGCAGTTCTTGTTCAGTATATAATTCTTGCACAGAATTCCTCGGACAAATATATACGGTTGCTACACTGTTAGAAAAAACGGTGAAAAAACGGTTCCACTGACGTTCTAGTGGCCGGTCGCCCCGTGAAAATAAACTGTTTCGCCATTTTTATTAGATATTTTATGGATTTCTAGTACTAAATTAGAATAAAAACGGCGACACTGTGTTTCTTTTCACGTGCCAACCGGCCACTGAAACGCTGGTAATACCGTTAACGGTAATTTTTCTAACACTGTAGCATCCAATTTATTACTATAATTCTGCAAAAATCATTCACCGGCTGTTGCTATAACTGCTACCGGCAATGCATACCGAAACGACTGCTAGTCCAGCCAGTGTGTAATGCAGATACTCTTAACGTAGCAGCTGCTATAAATGTCAATCTCAGATCCATGATTTCATATATTGACTATGATGTTTGCCTAAATTTGTTCGTATTTTGTATCTTATCAATAATTCCACATGCACCATTTTTAAGTTTGTTGGTCTGTACCAAGATCAAATGTTAGTTCACGCTGTCGTGTCACTATGGAGAACAGTAAGGCTGAACTTTTCATTGCCACTTTACTTATTACTACTAATACTTTAATGATCTTAGATTGAATTACGAATAAATTTAGTGCTCCATTGGGAGTTATAGCCATCGACGCAAAGAAAAATAAGGCTAAGATTGAGATAGTAAAGGGAGCATTAGAGCGAAAGAGAAATCAGCGTAGCATATAAGTTGATAGTATTTAAAGTCGTTCAAATTTAAACTTACAATTAGGCCCTATATAGCCTGGAGCGTCGACGATCTAGGCTAGAAGAATGCAAGTTATGTGCCTACACATCCGAGGCTGGGATAGCAACGTGCCTAAAAACTCTCCTAAAAGTTCAAGGAACCAAACTTAAGAACTATAAGAGAACTATTTATTCAGGCGACTTTTTTCTGAGGTAAATTGTTATTTATGTTCTTCATCAATAATTGTTCTTAATTATATGTTCTTTTATCAAGAAATGCGATTTGGTATAGGAAGATTCACGAGATTGTAGGGCTTCTTCGTTAGAATTCCTTCGACGTTCATATTGTTAATTTTTATGCTGAAAATTTATGTGGCCTTATTTGAATGAACTGGACATATTATTGAAGGATTGCGTAGGCATAATTTCACTGGCTATTTAACACAAACCGCGTATATCCTACCAAAATTTTCAGCAAGGTATCTGACTGGTCGCATACCACTAGGGTTTGCGTGGGTATGTAGAAACTTCATGTATCGCAACGTCCATTTAAGGAATGAACACCATGGGTTTAATTTATTCACAACACTGCATTCGTAATATTAAGACAGACTGTTACTTTATAAGATGTATTCGCATGTACATACCATGGATCTCTTTATATGTACATCCATATTGTGTTTGTAATGTTCATGGTTCTGACAGAGAACATATGTATATGGAACCAGACATATATAGCAAATAAATTTTTTAAGACGTATATAATGAATATTTTATGTTCGGCTTACATACACATATAGATAAATTTTTGAAAAACTCAATAAAAAGTTAGAAAGTCTATTCTAGTCTATACTGTATACTGTAATTCTATCGTAATAAATAAATATAATCTTTCGAAATCCTCATTCAGTATCAGAACAGATGTTCGTTTCACACTGAGGGAAATGAGTGTGACTTTGTTCAAATAGTGATGCTGCACTTATGTTGGTCATCCTGATATAGTTTGGCACTTCAAAAGGGCGTATCTGCAGTGCTACACGCAGGGAGTGTGTCATTATTTGGACTATATGACCCATATATTCCACTGAGTGCAGTCCCTCTCAACAACTCGACCCCGCAGGCAAGGATGAGATATATTTTATGGCAGGGGAGAAGCACGCCGCATTGAAATATCAATGGAAATTACGACGATATGATAAATCAGGCAGCCACAGGCTGTAATGTTGATAGGAGCTTAGGCACTTCCTTTACAGGTGAAGTGACCATGTAAGGTAAGATAGTCAAGGTAAGATAGGCAAGGTAAGATAGGCAAGATAAGATAGGCAAGATAAGATAGGCTAGGTAAGATAGGCAAGGTAAAAAAAGACACTAAAACTTACCGAGCAGTGTTGTGACACATAAAAAATAATATCCTGCAGCATTTTAAAAGAAAAATTGTAGGCGATCTTGAAATATATTTTCCAACAGTTTACGCGAACCTCATCATGCCCAGAGGAGCAGAAAAACAATAATCGCGTCTTATTATAAACAATTAAGCAATTATGATGCTCATTCAGGCACCTAAACGGTTAATAATTGTACATATAATTATTTCTTAAAATTTTTATGTGTAGTGTACAATTTAGTTTTTTAATATTTTGTATTTTATTACAATAAAAAAGGTGATAAAAGATTCAACAAAGTGAAAATGTCCGCGTTTTTGATGTTCATGTGTTTAATAGAAATAAAGGATTTAACTTTCGCGTTAAATTAATTAAAAAATGATTTAGCTTTCGTATAATGCACATGTATCACGCTAAATAGAGTGCTGAGGGCGGCCATGTGGTGACGAGCGTGAGGGCATAGCGTGTGGGGAAGGAAGCAGCATGAGACCTCGACCTCAGCCCCAACATGGCGGGGAGGGGGAGGAGGGAAGTGGCAGGGGAGGAGGGAAGTGGCAGGGGAGGAGGGAAGTGGCAGGGGAGGAGGGAAGTGGCAGGGGAGGAGGGAAGTGGCAGGGGAGGCTGGGGCTGAGAGGAGGAATCCTTATCAGCGGAAGAAGGTACGAGATGCAAGGAAGTGAACCTCGTGACTGAGAAAGAGGAAGAAAGTGAAAAAATTGCAGAAAAAAGAGAAATATACAAAAATGAGCCAAAACACTCGGAAAAAAATAACACAAATCCCACAAGAGATGAAATAGAGAATGGCATGAAAGGGACACGTTTGAAAAGTGGGTTTTGCTCACCTCAGAACATTTGAATTTAATGAAAGCTTTAATTGAATTGAATGAAAGCGTTAATTGAATTTAATGAATGCTACCAGTGTAGTTTCATAAAAAGTCTAGCACACAAGAAAAGACTCGAAACTGAATAATCCACAGAATCAAAAGAGAGGATGAAATTAATTTTTAAATTTGATTAAATTTGCGGCATTTGCAATTGATCGTGGAACATGATCAGTCAGTCTGACAATTTTTGACCTAAAGAAAGTTATTTCTAATATTATTTTACAACAATTAGTACATATCTAGGGAAGAGAAGATGATAATAAAAGAAGAAAATTTTATTATCATCCTCATAGAAGATGATAATAAAATTTTCTAAAAACACTAACGATTAGTCGTACGATCGACCGTTAAAAATATTGAGAAAGCACGAAACCTCAGCGAACTTTCTTCCGGTAAATCCTTTTCAACATGACAACATGTTCACCGGCCTATATATAGTACACGCGACGGGGTATCGTGCAAAATTTAATTGTATATTGTAATTAGTCAGCAAAATCCATGTAACAAGCAGATCAGTGAGCTGTACCCATAAGTGGGAGAGTAACTATTTAGATCATAAATTTACTTATATTACGCTTTTAAAAAGTTTGCATTCGTTTTTCAATGTTACTTGGAATCTTAGTATTCAAATTCTGATCTCCTCAGCGTAAATTTTTGTTTTTCTGTTTCATGTATTTACATTATTCAAGTTCTGAACTGATGATGAATCACGCCTAAGGCAATTTTTTAATTGAACTAAGATGAATTTATTTGGTATTTTCTTTGCTTTTAAATTCTGAGATAGCAATTTTGATGTTTCCGGTTGATAAATGTAATCAATGTAAACTTTTGAGCAGCTCTCAATTTATCAGCGATAAGCTTCCCAACCTAAAAGTTAAAACACACATTCATTATTCACACATATACGGGTCACATAATAGATAGATACGTACCTTTTCAAGCAGGAAAAAATTAATTAATTGTCTTATGTTCAAAAGTTTATTCTCGACCAGTCGTCACAAGGCAGCGAGATCAGGGTCATCGATCAGGAACTATAGCATTGTGATGAACTTCGTCTTGCGAAGTGACGGTGGAGAGATGAGGAGGTCTAATGTATGTGTAGGATAATCTTTATCTCGGGAAGTGAATGTGATGAATATTGGGCAGTGAAGAGATGAGGAGGTAAGAGATGAGGAGGTCTAATGTATGTGTAGGATGAACTACTTCATCTCGGGAAGTGTATGTGATGAATATTGGGCAGTGAAGAGATGGGTAGTATACATGTGTAAGAGTTTCATGTGTGTCTCATGGCTTGAGTGTTTCCGGTGACCTTTCACTCACCTGCTCGCACTTGAGCGAGG